TATTTTTATCCTGTTACTGTAACTGATGAAGGTTGCGGTTAACAATCCCGTAAATTTGGGTGATTCTGATTGTGAATAGAGTTACCTTGTTAAAATTTGTTCCAGTAAACCAGTATACCAACTTGTTAGTCATAAGATTAAAAATAGTAGGAACAGCACTCAAGAAAATATGTTTGTTAACTTAGTGAATAAACACTCTGGACGATGACGACCTGATAGCTTCGGTTGCAATCTTACCAATTGTGCTGGTATTCGTTAGCCTACCGATCGTTGCATATTCAACCCACCACAAAACACTCTGGCCTTATTCGGGTGACGATGACTGTTCTTACTCATCGACGTCGTCTTTTATATTTTAAGGGCAGTAGGGGTTATGCATGACGCAGATTTTGAGTACAGACCGGTCTTTGAGAATCCAAACAGCTTGCCCATCGAGGGGGTCTTTTCATGAAAAAGGTTGCACCTAAACCATCAAAGGGAGGTAGACAAGTAAATTAGAGTATCTAGTTAGCGGCTAAATGAGAACGGACTGCATGCCAAGTGAAACGGACTAATTTCGAAAACCAGATTTAGCGGAAATGCAAAACCGTCTGTCAGGAAGCTGAGCTCATCCAAAAGGAGGGTCATTGCTTTGATAAATAGACCCTTCAGACAAGAAAACAGATTTTGACTTCACGAAACTGAAACTGTCCTTGGCATTGTAATTGGGATACAAAAAAGGAAAGTGCGTGCACAGAACACTGCTCGCGTGCAGCTTCATTACTGGTCGTCCCCAAACAACTTACACAATCTGCAGTACAGACGTTTATTTGAGCATCTTTTCCGCTACTTAAACATGCAAAGTAGTCACTGTACCCTAATTTGTTTTTCTGATTATGGTCTCCTGTACGGGGCTGAAAGCTCAGACTACTGCAAGTATTTTCCCAGTGATCGCGGCCTTGTCTTCTTTGCATATAAAAATGCGTCACATGCCGTCCTCTTGTCCGGTGCAGAGCTTCCAAACCGTAGCACTCTGATAGAGCTAAGACAACCTTTACACGCCACTGTTGCAAGTACATGCTTGCCTGGTCAGTAGTTGCAAGTGTGCTGGTACCACTGTCTTTGACTTAAGCTCTTCCAATCACTGAGTAGTCGTCGTCCAGCGATAACCTACTGGGAATCTGACCGGAGGATTCAGCTCTTGGACTGAAGTATCCTAATTAAGATGCGCTGTACATCGGACTGAACGCAAAGTGCAAATTCACAGAGGCTTCGCAACTCACCCACTACTGCCAGGGTGAGCAAGGATGACTGCGTACCGTGATCGCACAAACTTAGTGAACAGACGAGGGTCACAATACAAAGGCGACTGGCTAAGGCCTCGACGCCGCCGAAGGCATAGTCCCGCTTGAGAATTATTTCGAGACAATGCAATTTACCCCTGGTCTGTCTGGAGTGAGATCAAAGTACCGGATAAGGATGAGCTCAGGGCGACCGCAGTCGGGCCTGGAAGAGTCCGTTGATCCGCTGCGACTGCAGACAAAGTCGTCGAGTTTAACGGCTGCATCTACACATCGCTGTCCTGCAAAATATCGAGAAGTTCGACTATTTGAGCCCCTGAAAGGTAGGCTAGTTTCGAATGCGGAACCCTACCGTGTCTTGGGGACAGTACAGTAAAAGGTCACTGTTTCCAGTTGTTCTTAGTTCTGTAGCGCCTAAGTAGTGTTTGTACTCGGAGCACTACATTCATCCAATCGAATCCCGGGTTGTTGGTAAAGACAGACTGCACGAATGGGGGCGGAATTTGTTGTGCACAGAACTCCCAGTTGCTGTCTCAGGCGACAGTGATCAGCGTTACTTTTGACTACGTCCACTCAGGCCAGAGGAAGCGTGGGACAGCCGTAGCGACTGCTTCTATGTGATTGTGGAGCAAGTTCCAGTGGCGTCCACTCGATGTGTTGCATTGCCCGATAGGGTGTCGTGGATAGTGGTCCATGCTTCGTGGGCGACGTTTTCAAGTGGCAGTTGCGAGTATATGAACGCACACGGGCGTGTGTGCTTGCGAGTGGGAGTCGGTCAAGGGTCTGTCTGAGCAGTTGCAAGAAATTGAGGCAGCGGCCAATGAGGCCGGAGCGCAAAGTTGGCTGTCAGCCACAGCCCCCGTTTACGTTCGACTCATACTCCCTTCTAATGCCTCATCCACCAAAGTATTATGCCAATCTTTCCCCCTGCACCCTCCCCCCACCCAGGGGAGGTAAGTTCGAAGTTTCGTAATGTGTGATTACTTATCTTCAGTAA